AGTAAACCAGGCAAGAAACAATGAAGATCAAAGAAAGGGCTGAGCAGGGGAGGGACTGTAGAAAGAGTAAGGATCAGGATGGAGCACTGGTGCCTCTTGAACAGGAGAGGAGAGGGGGCACCTGACTGGGATGACCAGATAGTTGGGTGGAGGCATTGTTAACCTAGGAGGAAGGGCAGGTTCTGGGGCACAAGGATAGATACTATTGGATGTGACTGATGCCTGTGGGACATACGGTTGGAGACATCCAATAAGCACACAGGAGTGACATGCAGCTTTGCAGTGCAGTCAGAGCTTATGACATGGATTTAGAAATCATTGTTAGAGTAGTGAGATAAGATGAGGCCTCCCAGGAAACTCTCTGGGTATAAAACCAAAAAAAATCTGTTGCTGTTGAGTCGATTCTAACTCATGGCATCCTCATGCTTGCAGAGTGCAACTGCTCCATAGGGTTTTCTTGGCTATCATCTTTACAGAAGTGGCTCACCAGGCCTTTCTTCTGTGGCCCTGCAGAGTGGGTTTGAACTGCCAACTTTAGGTTAGTTGTTGTTGTTGTGTGTCATTGAGTCAATTCTGACTCATAGCAACTCTGTATGACAGGGTAGAACTGTACTGTAGGATTTCCTAGACTGTAAGCTTTACAAGGGGAGCTCTGGTATCATAGTGCCTAAGGCACTTGACTGCTAATCAGAAAGCTGGCGGTGGCTCAGAAGGAAGGTTGGGCAATCTACTTCCGTAGTGATACCACCTCGGAAACCCCAGGAGGGGTCGCTATGAGTCGGGGTCGACTCCACGGCACATAACAATAAAAACAATCTCCACAAAAGCAGATCGCCAGGTCTTTTGTGTAGCTGCTGGGTGGGTTTGAACCACCAACCTTTTGGTTAGCATCCAAATGCTTAACCACTGTGCCAGTAGGTCTTCTCTTTAAGTTAGCAGTTGAGTGCAAACTGTTTATACCACCCCTGGGTATAGACTTCCTAAGAAAGCCCTAGATAAATATTCTTTTCCCTGGGTTAATTTATCCTTCAACTACAGTTCAATACTCCCAACAGATACAAAACATTTGCATTTTAGTTTTATTGGTTTAACTCACAACGCCAATGTGAAACAACAACCATTTACATATTCTATTTTTTAGGGAGGTGAAGATTGCCAATTTGTTTATTTATTTGCCTAGTTATCTGTCTTTAAAATGTTTTTTCTTTGTTATTATTAGCATCCTCATTTATTCCCAGAGTGTCCTGATATTTGCTTCGCTTTTTTGCTTTAGTTACTTTATTCAGGTGCCTTCTCTGAGTGCACATATATTACTCCAGAAAACACTCAGGTTGGTAATTTAGAAGCCTTGAGAGTCTGTGAAGCTTTAGAGGAGCCGGCTTTACCATCACCTGTCTTTCATCTGTTGGGAGCTCTTAATGTGCATTGTTAAGGCCGTTTGAATAGATACGTTTATAAAATCCAGCAACAGACATATTTCTCCAGTTGCTTTTTGGCTCAACCAGCTTCAAACATATTGCATCTCTCTCTCTCTCTTTTTTGTCTTCTCTTTTTGTTAGTGCATTCCTGAAAGTTAATTCAGCTTCTTTGCAAGCTTTTCTCTAGTAGTGCTGGAGGTCAGCCAATCATACACGCCAAATACAGTGTAGCTACTTCTTCCTCCTTTAAAAACTTTGGTTTGAAGGGAAATTAAGATGTCTTTTGGGGAGACCATTAAAATAGAGGGCCAGGAGACCTGGATTCTAATAGCAACTTTATTTTTTATAAGCATGTGGTCTTGGATTGCCAACTGACCTCTTTGTGTTTCAGTTTCTACATATGGAGAAGATTACCCTCATATAGGGATATTCTGAGAACAAATACAGGGAAATAGTTTGAATTTTCAGAAAGTCTCTGAAAGAACATAAGAAACATTTTACACTATAAATGACTAAAAATCCATCCGTATCCTTTTCTCTTTGAGAAAATAAAGGAAAATGAATGAAAATACATAGGTGCTCAGTAAAATTGCAATGATCAGTTCTTCCCTTCCTCCATCCCTTCCTCCATCCCTTCCTTCTCCATTCACTTCTTGCCTTCTTCCTTTTATATCCTCTCCCTAAGATGCTTTTTAGTTTTTCTGTGTTTAGACTGCTTTCAGAACAATCTTCACTTATTTAGACTTGGTTCAGAATAATCTTCAATTTTCAGGAGCAAGATTTCTGCAATAATTACTTCTGTGATTATACAAAACTGTACCATACCAACACATTTTAGGAGATATTTGTATTATTTTAGAGAGTATGAGGGAGTTCTGGTAGCATAGTCCCTGAGGCACTTGACTACTAACCAGAAGGCTGGCAGTTTAAACCCACCAGCCACTCCTTGGAAGGAAGGTTGGGCAACCTGCTTCTGTAGTGATACCGCCTCAGAAACCCAAGGAGGGGTCGTATGAGTTGGGTCCAACTCAAGGGCACATAACAACAACACAGCAACAACAGAGAGCATGCTAATACTCTTGCAGGTCGAAAGGAAAGTGAAAAGCCTAGAGTCTTGAGAAGATTCTGATTAGGGAAGCATATGGTGGTCACAGCCACACTGATTAAAGTGTTGGTGATTCAGGCTCATGGAATGGTACAGTGGTTAAGGGCCCTGCTGTTAACCAAAATGTTGGCAGTTTGAACCCCCCAGCAGCTCTGCAAGAGAAAGACGGGGCAGTCTGGTTCTATAAAGATTGTCATTGTTGTTGTTAGGTGCCATCGAGTCAGTTTCAACTCATAGCAATCCTATTTACAATGGAACGAAGCACTCCCCAGTCCTGCATCATCCTCACAATCACTGACATGCTTGAACCCATTGTTGCAGCCACTGGGTCAGTTCATCTTGTGGAGGGTCTTCCCCTTCTTCACTGAAACTCTACTTCACCAAGCATGATATCCTTCTCCAGTCCCTTCTGGCAACATGACCAAAGTATGAAAGATGAAGTGTGGCCATTTTTGCTTCTAAGGAGCATTTCAGCTGTACTTTCTCTAAGATAGATTGTTTTTTCTTCTACAGTCCATGGTACATTCAACACTCTTCACCAACACCACAATGCAAATGTATCAATTCTTCTTTGGTCTTCCTTATTCATTGTCTAACTCTCACAGGCATTTAAGGCTATTGAAAATAATATGGTTTAGGTCAGGCACACCTTAGTCTTCAAAGTGACATCTTTGCTGTCAAATACTTTAAAGATTGCAGCCTTGGAAATTCCATGAGGCAATTCTACTTTGTGCTATAGGGTCGCTATGAATTGAGATCCAGTCACCAGGAATAGGTCTGGTTTTTGTGGTTTGTTTCAGGCTTGATTTGGAGCTGTTCTGCTAATTTTGTGCTGATGGAAGCAAGAAGCTGTTTCAGACCTATGGTTCTGCTGATGGGGATTTTGGCTTGACTGAATGAATTTTTGAAATGCCTGTATTCTTTCTCCCTTGACATTACAGGATAATTTGTGATTCTAATGTTGTTATACATTCTCTTAAGTTTTAAAAACAGACATGTTATTATTAATAAGGAGAGATATTTAGAGTATTTTCTAATAAATTAACCATCAAAATCTCCAGAGGAGAGTTAGTTTTGATCTTAGATATCTTTATGCTTCAGAGAAGTATTTAAGCTACAAGACTCAGCAGCCAGACATGATTTCTAAAAATTCCAGTCATAGAGCTGCAGTGACAGAAGCATTGCTATGTATCTGTCCCCTGTGGCCCTCCCTTACCACCCCTTCTTCCCAGTCCCATACACTATAAAAATGCAACCAACCTCACACCATACTCAGCTACATCAGTTTTCCATATGTGAATTTAACCTGTGTGGCTTAAATTTTGTCAAGAAAAGTAAAATGAGATTTTTTTTTTATACAGAAACCACCACCACCTATTGCTGTTGAGTTGATTCTGACCCACGGTGACCCCATGTGTGTCAGAGGAGAACTGTCCTCCATAGGGTTTTCAATGGCTGATGTTTTTGGAAGTAGATCACCGGATATTTCTTCTGAGGCATCGCTCAAAAAATCAAAACCAAACTCACAGCCATCGAATTGATTCTGACTCATAGCAACCCCCATAGAGTTTCCAAGTCTGTAAACCTTTACGGAAGCAGATTGCCTCATCTTTCTTTGGCAGAGAAGCTGGTGAGTTCAAACCATCAACTTTTTTAGTAGCCAAATGCCTTAACCACTACACCACCAGAGATCCATGAAGCATCTCTAAGTGGACTTAAACTGCCAACTTTTGGTTAGCAGCTAAGAGTGTTTACTGTTTGTACCACCTATCGTATAGAAAACCAAAAAAAAAAAAAAAAACCCAAACTCACTGCCTTTGAATCGGATCTGACTCATAGCGACCCCTCCTTGGGTTTCCAAGGTGGTATTACTACAGAAGTAGATTGCTGAACCTTCCTTCTGAGGCGCTGCTGGTGGGTTTGAACCGCCAGCCTTCTGGTTAGCAGTCAAGTGCCTTAGGCACTATGCCACCAGAAAGGGGATCTTAAATTTTATCAATATTAAACAAGGAGCTAAATGCCTTCTTTAGCTAAGAATAAATAACAGATGGGGATAAAGTCCAACATGTCCAACCAGGTTATTTAGCAATTTCTCTTGCCTAGAGGAGAAGAATTTTCTGCACCAGCAGGTTATAAAAAGCTGACTTAAACCTGGCCTGGAGCTGTTGTTGTTGTTGTTGTTATGTGCCGTCAGTTGGACCCGACCCATAGCGACCCTTCCTTGGGTTTCTGAGGCAGTATCACTATGGAAGTAGATTGCCCCATCTTCCTTCCGAGGAGTGGCCTGGAGCAGAGACCTCCAAAAGGCTAAGCCAGAGGAAACTATCCTGGCCAGGTCCACACTTTTGTCTGAGCTGGGGAGCCAAAGGCTGTTTGGAGCTGTTTTAATCAATCTTCTTCCTTTTCTCTACCTCAAACTTTCCTTCCCATCCCCAGACTCCATGAAAAGCCACTTATCTAGAGGTTGAGAAAAATACCTTCAGAGAAGCCCTCGAACTTTCAGGCACTCCATTTCCGTATTTCCCTGAGATGATACCACAGGCAAGTGGAGACCATGTCATTGCTCCAACTCCTACAGAAGAAAAAAATAAGTTGCTGTTGGAAACTGGGATCAAAAGTGGTGCAGTGTTTAAATTTGTTGTTGTTATGTGCCATAGAGTCGGACCCAACTCATAATGACCCCTCCTTGGGTTTCCAAGGCAGTATCACTATGGAAGTGTTGTTGTTGTTGTTATGTGCGGTCGAGTCAGCCCCGACTCAAAGCGACCCCTCCTTGGGTTTCCGAGGCAGTATCACTACGGAAGTAGGATTGCCCAACTTTCCTTCTGAGGAGTGGTGGGTGGGTTTGAACCGCCAGCCTTCTGTTTATCAGTCAAGTGCTTTAGCCACTACGCTACCAGAGCTCCTCACTATGGAAGTAAATTGCCCCATCTTCCTTCTGAAGAGTGGACTTGGTAAAACCAGTTATAGTCTGATGATGGTTGTATAACATGATTAATGTGATGTCACTGAATTGTACATATAAAAAACATTGAATTGGCAAGTGTTGTGTTACATATATTTTCCCCACAATAAAAAACATTTAAAAACAAAACAAAACAAAAAACTGAAAAACAATGCTGTTGCTGTTGAATCGACTCTTAGTCATGGCAACCTCATGTGTCTCACATTAGAACTGTTCTCCATCGGGTTTTCAATGGCTGATTTTTTCTTGAAATAGATCACCAGGTCTGTCTTTTGAGGTGCCTCTAGGTGGACTCAAGCCTCCCACCTTTCTGTTAGCAGCATAATGCTTAACTCTTTGCACCACTGGGACTCTAGATTTGATTAGTTATGGTGAAAAGGGTGGCCAGATAAGTTAACACCAGCATACAGCTTTCTATTGACATTTAAGGATTTACCAGTTGTGTTTCATTCTTTATAAACCAATTAAACATTCACTATCAGTTCTTAGGATTGGTTCCTACAAGCAAGCCTAAAAATGTAGCTTATCTGTGATTTTCTGATATCCAAAATTCATGCCTTTTTTTTTTTTTTAACTTACTTTTACTTTTTTTTTACAAGCACTTCTCTACTTGCACAGAAATTCAGTGCTTTGCTTGTCTGACACAGTACCTGGTACATAATGGGAGGACAATGCCTAGTGGATAGTAAACAGGATAGGATAGTAAATAGGACAGGAATAATAGCAATTATTATTGTTATTGTTACTCAATTTTAATTTTTTCTTCCTTACTTACCATTTTCTTCTATTTCTTAGGAAGAGAGTTATCTCTGGAAACTTTTGATTAATAAGCCTGAAAATGGACCTCGTTCATTTTTTTCCTGATGTTCAGAATTCTTGTATGTATGTGTGTTTTTCTTCCCCCTCTCAGAAATCATATAGTGCTTTGCTTGTCAGCTTTTCTTAAATTCTCCATGTCTAACTCAGTGCCAGGCACAGAGCAGGAGATAGAGATATGCACGCTCATGTGCATGGGTGTGTACATGCACACACATACACACACATATAATATATGTTGTGGTTGTTAGCTGTGCTACGTTAGGTCCTGACTCATGGTGACCCCACAAACAATGGTATCTACTACTGTGATCCATAGGTTTTCACTGACTGCTTTTCAGAAGAAGATCACCAGCCTTTTCTTCCTGTTGTTATGTTGTTGTTGTTGTTGTTATTTGCCGTCGAGTCGCCCCCGACTCATAGCGACCCCTCCTTGGGTTTCCGAGGCAGTATCACTACGGAAGTAGGATTGCCCAACCTTCCTTCCGAGGAGTGGCTGGTGGGTTTGAACCGCCAGCCTTCTGGTTAGCAGTCAAGTGCTTTAGCCACTATGCTACCAGAGCTCCGGAAGCTCCACTGAAACCTGTTTAGCATCATAGCAACACATAAGCTTTCATTGACAGACGGGTGGTGGCTGTACTTGAGGTGTATTAGCTCAAAATCGAACGTGGGTCTTCTGCATGGGAAGTGAGAATTTGACTACTGAACCACCAGTGCCTCCCATAAGACATATATGTATATGTATATATACCCATTTATGTATATATATATATGTGTATAGGTATATACCAAACCAAACTCACTGCCGTCAAGTCAGATCTGACTCATAGTGACCCCTCCTTGAGTTTCTGAGGCAGTATTACTACAGAAGTAGATTGCCCAATCTACACATATACATATATGAGACATGCTTATATATATAGGTATATACACATATACATGTAAGATAATGCATATATATACATATATATATATATATTTATTTATACACACACACACACATAAAATCACACATGCAGCAGCAGCAGTTCACTGCCATTGAGTTGATTCTGACTCATAGTGACCCTACAGGACAGAGTAGAACTGCCCCATAGGGTTTCCAAGGCCGTCAATCTTTATGGAAGCAGACTGTCTCATCTTTCTCCCGTGGAGCGGCTGGTGAGTTTGAGCCACCGACCTTCTGGTTAACTGCCAAATGTCTTAACCACTGTGCCACCAGAGCTTCTTTATACACACATATATCCATATGTATGGAAAGGCAGTCATAGTCTGTTCAGAGATGCAGACTTTGGCTAGAGCTGGCACTCTATGAGAAATGAGTTTATTCACGGTTCTTTCCTTCACTCTATATGCATTACTTGAATACCTATTGAGTATAGCTTATTTGCCAGTCACAATTTATAACTCTGCTTGGCTTTCATAGGTGATCCCCTGTAGATGCAACACATTTGATTCTTCTAAGTCTCTGGAATGCACAGTTATTACCTTTGTTAATTAGAGATAGTTAGGAAAGCATCTCAGCAACTTTTTTTTTTTTTTTGATCAGTGATCCTTCTATTAAAAATACTCAGTGCATTTGTTTTCAAAGATTACCTATTTTATGGTAGAGCTCAGGCAGCTGGACCTCCACCTTCTCTCTCTGGAAAAGATGGTACTCAGCTTGTTCACAGACTGGTGGGATCATATTGAACTGTCTTGCTACAGAATAGGCTTCCTAGGGAGAAACAAGATTGCAACTGAATTTATACTGATGAGAAACGAGACTTCACTGTGACTTGAGTGTATGTGACATTTTCAGGTAGTGAAATCAGTACAACCCAAGAAACATAAACAAACAAACAAAAAACCCACTGCCTTCAAGTAGATTCTGACTCAGCGACCCCCATAGGATTTCCAAGGCTGTAAATCTTTGCAGAAGTAGATTGCCTCATCTTCCTCCCACGGAGCAGCTGGGTGGGTTGGACCCCCTGACCTTCTGGTTAGCAGCCAAATGCCTTACCCACTGCACCACCAGAGTTCCTTATAAATATAAAAACTAAAAACCAAACCCACTGGTATGGAGTCAATTCTGACTCATGGTGACTCCCATTGGGTTTCTAAGGAGGTAAATCTTTACAGAAGTAGATTTCCCTGTCTTCCTTCTGCAGAGTGGCTAGTGGGTTTGAACCACTAAACTTCTGGTTAGCAGTCAAATGCCTTAGGATAGTTAGTATTTAATATAGCTTTTCTTTCATTCTTTTTTTTTTTCTTAAAAAAAACTAAAATATCCTGTTCATATATCTTATTAGCAGTGAAATTCACTTTACCCTCTTGTCACCAAACAGCATCCTAAAACTTGATTCCTGTTAGAGATCTGAGCCCTCCCTGCTATATTCTGTTCTGATGAGATCTAGTCCCAATATCTGTCTCTCAAAACAAACAAACAAACAAAACTCACTGCCGTCGAGTAGGTTTAGACTCATAGTGACCCCTCATTGGGTTTCCGAGGTGGTATCTCTACAGAAATAGATTGCCCAACCTTCCTTCTGAGGAGTGGCTGGTGAGTTTGAGCTGCCAGCTGTCTCTAGCACTATTAAATTGATCACAGAGTTCCAGCACCATGGTGATTGGGAGAAATGTTTATGAAAGATCTCGCAACTTACATATGATATCTGATGAATAATGGTAAGGTACCCAATGACCATTTGAAAATAGAAACTAAAGTACCATGATCTCCATTGCACTCCACCGTGAGGTGCCCCAATACATCGCCATCCCTTGGTTTATCACATGTGTCATGGCTCGAACGATTTCTAGGGAAGGCAGACAGAGAGCAAGCAGTTGATGAGTTTCTCATCTTCTCAAAGTTATATGGCCTGTTTTTTTTCTTCCCCAAAGTCAGAAATCTAGTGAAATTATTTGTTTGATTAATATACCCATTGCTAACAAATAGGTTTCAACTTACAGCAGCCCTCTAGCATAGAGCAGAACTGCCCCGCAGAGTTGCAAGTAAATCTTTATGGAAGCAGACTGCCACATCTTTCTACCTGGTAGGTCCCAACTGTTGATCTTTCACTAGTAGCCCAGAACTTAACCAGGGCTCCTCTTGATTAATATAGTTACTTCAATATTAGTGACAATATAACAGTCTACCATGAAATATTGATGGTTTGGAGGTTAGCAGTACTTTTTCTTAACCTGATGTCCCATTTTCCGTTTGCAGCAATAGTGCTAAATGATATTAGAAACATAATGACTACTTGAAGTTCTTCTTTTACTTTTATTTTGCTTCCTGGATCCTGGCCTCATAAAATGAATAAATAATACATGGTTAACCTCTTTCAGAACCTGGGTACCTTGCTCACTAAAGTGAGAAGTAAGGGAAACATTCGTCTTGACTTTGTAGAAGGTAAGATCGTGAGTGATAGGTGGATTTGCAGAGCTGGGCACACACAGAGTGGCTGTTCAGTAGAGATGACTCAACAATAATGTATTTAGCAGAAAGATAAACATATTCAATGCTGAAAAAACAGTTGAAACCACAGTGCCCCAAAGCTCACAATGGTACACCCTGCCCTTGACTGCTTTGAACCAAATTTTGTTCTAAGACACCAGTGTAACTGATTTCCTGGGGCCGGCCTGGGGCCACACCCAGTTTGTGCATCAGTCTCTTTCAGCTTCCCATTACATTTCCTAAACAGGAACCCCTTCCCCAGAGGAGTGGAGCTGAGCCAATGTGGTACAGAACCAGAGAACAGAGAAAGCTGCAACTTCAAAATAGTGAAAATTCATAGAAAAGGTTGCATTTCTTCTACAAAATAGGTCAGATAAACACCCAGAATGCTAGGTCATTTGATATTTTCAAGAGGTAGCGGGCCTCACACTTTTCCTCTATGTGCCACTAATACACTAACTTAAAAGTCCCTCAGAAAAATCTCACTCTTGTCTCAAAGTAGATTCAAGGAAGATGTATTCTTATTTTTATTTCTCATGAACAAGTACTGTCTACATTGAGAGGGTACAGGATTTGTAATGAGGCAGCCAGGGTCAGGGTCTTAGCTCCTTACTCTATTTGACCTGTGTGTAAGCCATTTTCAATTGTCCTTTTGTTTTACTGGAAGATGGGAATGATTTGGTTTTTTTTTTTTTTTTTTACTCAACAGAGGCAGAATTTGACTTATAAACAAATTTTTATTCTTGGTGAAAGACTCCTGAATATCAGCAACTAAAATTATAACATTTACTCTCCCTGAATAAATCTAATGTAATACAAAAAGTTCTATGAAATGGTTTTCCTTTTCATTTTATTTAACAAATATGAATGAGTGCCTATTATAAACATTTCTGGAAGTTAAAACCATTATTTAAAGCTCTGGCCCAGAAATGCTCTTCCCCTTTGAGCATCTCCATCATTGTAAAAGCTCCCTTTATTCCCCATCCTGTTTTGTTCAGAGCTGAGGAGTTTGTTCAATGTATTCATTGTGTCTGCTGTACTGAGTCCTAGGGATGTTATGGTGAATCAAACATGTTGGTAAATAGTTAAACAAAATAAGTTGAACCTGAGACTTTCTGCTGTCTCCATTCTGTAATCATGTAAGATGAGCACAGAGCAATGTCCAGGGCTTGGTGGTATGGAACTGAAAGCCTTGACAAGAGTTCAGGTGGAGTAGAGGTTGTAACTATTCCTGTACATCTATTCACTTTTTCAGTATGTATGGCTGCTTTTATTTAGCAGGCACTGTGCCAAGTGCTGGATAATCAGCTATGAGTAAAACACATAAAGCTCCTGGACTCAAGGAGTTCAGAGGACAGTGGGAGAGATTGTTGTCATTTGCCGTTGAGTTGGACCCGACTCACAGTGACCCCTCCTTGGGTTTCTGAGGCAGTATCACTACCGGAAGTAGATTGCCCTTGGAGGGAAGGTTGGGCAATCTACTTCCGTAGTGATGGAGAAATAAATAATTCACAAGTCCTATATAATTAGTGCTAATGTAGAGATAGGAGCTCTGGTAGCATAGTGCCTAAGGCACTTGACTGCTAAGCAGAAGGCTGGCGGTTCAAACCCATCAGCCACTCCTTGGAAGGAAGGTTGGGCAATCTACTTCAGAAGCGATACCATCTAGGAAACCCAAGGAAGGGTCGCTATGAGTCAGGTCTGACTTGATGGCACATAACAACAAACAACAACAACAATGTAGAGATTAAAAGGAAGACCTATTATTTAGGTTAAAGAAGATCTTACTGAGCAGTGATACCTTTGACATGAATTATGAAAAAAAAAAAAAAATCCAGCCACGTGACAAACAAGGGGAAAATATTCCAGGCAGATGGAACATCATGTACAAAGACTCTAAGACAGGACAGAACTTAGTGAGATCCAGGAATTAGAAGGAAGCTGTGTGGCAGAAGCCTACTAGGAGAGGAAGACAGGAGGACAAGATGAAGTTGGCAGGCGTCAAACCGTATTATTGGCTTGTTATTCAAAGTTTAATGGAAGCTCATTACCATTTTTAAAGGAAGAAAGTTTACTTTTCAGAAAGGTATCTCTGGTTGTGCTGTGGAGAATCAGTCGGGAAGAGGAGGCCTGGAGGAAACAGGATGATCTTTAGGAAGTATTGCAGTCTTCCAGGCAGGAGATAAAGGTGGCTTGGAATAGAGTGGTAGTGGTAAAGACAGAGAAAAGTGGACAGACTAAAAATCTATTTTGGAGATAGAATCCACAGAGCTTGCAGATGGACTGAATGTTGTAAGGGAAAGGGAGGAATCAAGAATATTTCCCAGATATCTGGCCATTCACAGAGATGGAGCAGTAGGGCTGGGAGGAAAATCCAGAGGTCCACTAAGTGGAAATTCCTGTGAGATGCTAAAGGAGAGCTGTCAAGTAGATACAAATGAGACAATGCGTGATCTGGGCTGAAGATAATCACCAGCCTATTGATTGTATTTAAATTCACAGAAATGGATAAGGCTACATAAGGGTAGTCCATAGAGGGAAAAGAGAAGAGATTCTAAGAACCAGCCCAAAGGTTGGAAAGACCACCGACACAAATATGTGTCAGGTACTATGATTGGTGCTAGGTGATCAGTGGCCAGAGGTGCGGGAAAGAAAGGGAGGGGTGCCATGTCCCAGAATCTAGAGAGATGGTGTTTCAAGGAGCTGTGGCCCCCAGGGTGTATCACTGCTGAACATTCAAGCCAGAAGGACACCTGTCCATTGGATTTGGGTACATGACATGGAGGTCTTTGCAGACCATGGGAAGAACAGTTTCAGCATCAGTGGTGTGATAGGACCAAGTGGGAAGCAGATAGGAGGATAGGTGGGGGTGGAGAGTTAATAGGGCTAGGCAAGGGCTATTAATTAGCGACAACCTGTGTAGACAACTCTCTGAATAAGTTTGGAAGTGAACGAAGGAGAGAAATAGGGCACTTGCCAAAGGACTACTCAGGGTCAAAGGAAAGTGTTATTTTAAAGAGTGGAAGTATAAGAATAAGTCACAGTGCCATTGGAAGTGATCTAGAAAAGGAATTATTGATGCTGTGGCCGAGGGGCTGGGGGAGGAAAGGAGAGAGAAACTTGACAAAGTGAGATGGGGGAAACAAAAGGCACCTGTGGCATGGAAAGGTGATTTCCATTATAACAGGAGGCATGAAGGACAAGATTGATGGGACCAGCAGAGCTGGTAGAACTCATCATGGGAAGAAATGAGAGCTCCTGTTTGATGAATTTTATTCTTAATAAACTATAAATTAAGTGAAAAAGAAGTGGGCATGAGACGTGAGGAAAAGGAGAGAAATAATAGTTTTGAGAGTGAGAGAGTCCACTTGCTTGCAAATTTGGCCGCTCACTCTTCAGAGAAGAGCTTGGTGGAATGGGGAAAGGTATGCCATTGGAGAAGGCTGCAGCACAGGAAGCAGGTAGAAATTGCAGGACACAGAGAGCCACAGTTGGAAAGTCATGTTGCCACAAATAAGAATTCAATCTAATTGAACTAGTTCCTTTTTTTTCTTTTCAATGTCAGAGAAAAATTCCATTAATTGTTTACCTATCTGTTGTTGTTTGCCATCGAGTCAGCCCCGACTCATAGTTACCCCTCCTTGGGTTTCCGAGGCAGTATCACTACAGAAGTAGGATTGCCCAACCTTCCTTCCGAGGAGTGGCTGGTGGGTTTGAACTGCCAGCCTTCTGGTGAGCAGTCAAGTGCCTTAGGCACTATGCTACCAGAGCTCCCGTTTACCTATCTAGCAAGGAATAATCATACTGAAATCTGAAGGGTTTTTACATGATAATATTTAAAGACACTAGAGGGCAGCATTGTTGAAAGGAAAAAAAAATCAACTGAGCCAAGACATGGTTGTGTAGTGTATCATGGAAATAGCCTGCAGCATAGTGCCTAAGGCACTTGACTGCTAACCAGAAGGCGCTTGGTTCAAACCACCAGCTTACTCCTCGGAAGGAAGATGGGGCAATCTACTTCCATAGTGATACTGCCTCAGAAACCCAAGGAGGGGTCACTATGAGTTGGGTCCGACTCGATGGCACATAACAACAACAACAACAGTGAGAGTACAGACTCTAAGTGGGGAAACGGATGTCAGTTCATTCCAAAACCAAATGTTGCCATTAAGTCGATTCCGACTCATAGTGACCCCTCCTTGGGTTTCTGAGGAAGTAGATTGCCCACTCTTCTTTCTGAGGAGTGGCTGGTGGGTTTGAACCGCCAGCCTTCTGCTTAGCAGTCACGTGTCTTAGGCACTACGTCACCAGAAAGATCATTAGTGCGTTGCATTTATCTACCTCTGTGAAAGGATATTC